GATGAAGCCCTGCTGATGCACACGTTCACTCCTCGACAGGGAGAGCGTGCTGCTAAGCCTGCATCACATGTCCCCCCCCTTATCAGCAGGCATGATGCTGGGGAGCAGAGCTTGGAAGCAGCCCAGGCTGCTGCCCCGTCCCGCACAATAGTGGAGCCTGCTGCTCCCCGTCTCCTCGCCTGTTTGCCTTCCAAAGCCAGGCAGAGTCTCGCGGTCACTATTATTTTGCTTTGTGTCAATATTATGACAGCTAAAAGCAGGAGAACTGCATCCACATGATAAGCGGCCAGAAGCTCTGGGCTGGGCGTGGATCGGGTTCGAGTTTGGCAGGGGAGAAAAGCGCCTGGCAGCCCCTGCCCACCGGCTGGCTGGGCCGGGAGAGCTGGGAGGCGAGGGGCAGCGGCAGAGCAGCAGGCGATTCGTGCCCATGCACCTCTCCTCTCCAATGCTCGCTGCCCTTTTCCCAGGGGAGTTGAAACATGATAGATGTGCAGAATATGCTTGGTTCTCCAGTGGAAAAGTAACCTCCATCTCTTTCCTGGAGAGAAGGGCTGCTCTGCTCCGGCTGGGAGAGTCCTGTCCCTCCCGCCCCGTGCGGGCCTGGGGTGTTTCATCTCTGCCGGTGATGGAGGGTCACACACACGCTGCTGCACCAGTCTCTCCTGGTCACAGCCTGTTTGGGCTTTCCCAAGTGCAGCGCTCTGCAGCTGCCGAAGGGAAATCCCTGTGGGTTTCTGGGGTTTGGGGGCTCTGCTCCCACCCAGGGCTTCAGGAGAGGAGCTCAGGCAGAGCGGGGTGAGCTGTGCTGTGGGTACTGTGCCTCTGCTTCCCGGACTCTTGGCACCTCGTGTGCAAGGGGCTGTTGTTTTGGCGTAGTAACTGCACGCCCTGCGGAGGCTGCTGATGCAATGCTTACCTGTAGGCACCCACGTATGCTTGGGGCTGCAGTTTGGCTTTCCGGTGCCTCGCCCTGCTCCAGGGCTGTGCTCTCCTGCAAACACCCATGGCCTGGCCAGTCCATACCACACGGGGCTGCCCAGCCGGCTGGCCACCAAGCGCTGTGCCTGGTGGTGTGTGCTCCCCGTCACCTCCCTCACCTCAGCTGACTGATGGCTGGGCTGGGAGACAACTGGTCATCATTAACCCTCCTGTCCGCTGCCGGCATCGCTTTGCCACCTGCCCACAGCTTTGCCCTGGTGGAAAGGCGACTCTGTCCCCTGCTCTGGGCTCAGCCTCAGCACTAAATGAGGCCTGCACCGAAAGATGAAGCGTTAGGCTGAGCGGCACTGGGTCTGCCAGCCGCTCACCTGTTCCTAGAGCACCAGCTGGCTGAGGGCCACGGCTTCCCAGGGTTTGGGTCTGGTGGTCTCGGGGACCTCCTCCTCGGTGGCATTGTCCCTGCCCCTGTAGGGGATTTAAGCCGTGCCCGGGAGCAGCAGCCAGGTTTGCCGCAGGTTCCCCTCGCCCGGGTCTCCTGCCTTGAGTGCTCTCGGGCAGCCCTGGTGCCCATCCCGTGCCCCTCTGAAACTTGTGTCTGACCTGAGCCGGCCCCGGTGCCTGCGACCCAGGGGGGCCAGACCCTGCTCTCCCCAGGCATGGGGCTGGGCCGTCAGGTGCCTGTGGTTTCGGTCGCGGTTCCCCGGGGAGGCCGAACTCCCCTCCCGAGGAACCAAAACAAACAGCAGAGTTCCTGCCACGTGCGGCCGGGGCTGACTAAGGCCGGACGCTTCCGCTTGCTGCGGGCAGCAGTGGCCGGGGCCGCGAGCCACCACCATCGGGGTGCGCGGCACGGCCCATTTCCCCCTATTGTCAGCCTCCTCCTCGGCAAACACATCCCCCTGCGCACCTGGGCTGGGAGGAGGCACTGACACCACAGCAACCAGCTGCCAGGAGCGAGGGATGTGCTGCCTCCGGCATCTCTTGGAGTCGGAGCCTCCGTGGCATGGCTCTGGGGAGTCCTTCAGGGCCCGGGTGCCCAGGCAAGTTGTTTGCAGGTTGTTTCCTTGAGGAGCAATGCTGACCATCCAGGGATCAGCCTGGATCAGCCCTGCTTGCCTGCAAGGACACTGGAGAACCCTGTGTTTCCCGGAAGAAATCAGCAGCAGTCTCCTGGCAGAGAGGCCTGGGTTTCCCTGTGCGGAGAGGCTGGTGCCAGGGAAGCCCCTGCCAGACCATGCTCATCCCCATTCCCACTCTCACATACAGGTGCATGCAGCTCCAACCAGCCAGTCTCCAGCCCTCTGCCTTTTGCCTTCCGCCCCCACTGCGGAGACACAACCTGCAGAAGATTGAGCTGGTTTATCTCAGCGTTAGCTATGAACCAAGCTCTCCACGATCACTGATAGGGGAGCTTAGGAGAGTCTAAGAGCCAGATCACAGGGCTGGGGAAAGCAATCGAACAAAACACCAAGGGTGAAACATGGGCACTCTGGGGTGAAGGGCGGGCGTGAGGAGCTCAGTGTCTTACATCTTCATGCTGCTTTGATCTTGGGAGTCCCATCACAGTGCAGGACATAGGTAGCTGCTGGGGGGGACTCTTGCCCACTGGGCAGGAGCAGCAGCAGCAGCAGCCTGAGGGGGTGGCTGTGCCAGGCTCTGGAGCACGGGGCATTTGGCACTTCTCGTGGCAGAAGCCTCGAGCCCTGATCAGACTGACTCTGGTGTCCTAAATAGCAGCAGCACAAAAATAATGCCCTGAGGATTTCAGGGGTGTTCTCCAAGGGCTTCGGCGGTGACGCGGGAGGTCCTGGCTACAGTCAGCCTAAGAGTGACGCAGGGATGAGTTTTTGTTGGACTGTTTTCATCTGAGATGCTGAAGGTGGGATTTTGCAGGGGAGAAGATGCCCACGAGGGGATTTTGATGCTCAAATGGGGCTGTTTTATGGAAAAGGGGACTTAGAGGGACCTCGCCTGCAGTGAGCAGGGTGAGGTTTCACGGGGGAGAGCAGCTGCCTGTGCTGGGGTCCTTCAGTGTTCACGGGCAGCCCAGGCCCCTGCTCTTGCCCCTCACCCAGGTGTAAGAGGCACGGAGGTGAGCCCGATCCCCGGCAGGGCTGCACCGCAGTGTGCTTGCAGCCGGGTGCCGGGGCTGACTGTCCCTGCAGGACTGCCAGGGCTCACCCGCAACAGGGATGCACCATCATTGCCTACCCGCCTCCCTCCCCAGTGCTGCGAGTGAGGCAGGGAGGTGGCATATTCGAGGCGATGCTCTCAGCCCGTGGCCACTGCATGGGGCTCACTGTGGGGGAGGCATCTGCCCTTTAAGGAAATGTCTCTATTTGCCTTATGTCCCTGGCCGGTCCCTTGAGCCTCCTCTGTTCCTTGTTCTCAAAGTGCGTAGCTCTGCTCCCCAGAGCCCAGTGCGAGAGACACGCCGGTGCATTTATAGCATCAATCTTCAGCCCTGTCCTGCAGCTGGGGAAGGGTAGGCTCGGCCCCCAGGGAAGGAGTGCGGCAGAGGGGAAAATGAGCGGCTGCAGCCCCAGCCAGCTGGATGTTTCTCCCATTTGCAGGAGGATGTTGCTGGTCACAGATTACCAGTGTCCAAATATTATTTCTCTGCTCCTGTCTCTGCTCTGTGCCGCCTAGAAAGGGGATGCTCATCCCAGGAATGTAAACTCTGCCCAAGGCCTCTGAGGAAATAGCTTCAGTCCAGGAACAGGATTGCACTCGGCAATTAAGGGCTGGTCTCCCCAGCCACACGGCTCCTGGGGGAGAGCCCTTTGCTCCAGTGCCAGAGGCTGGCCTTGTGTCTGAGAGGTGGCCCCGAGGGACCTTCCTGCAAGGACAGGCGTGAGGCCCCGTGTGGTCACGGTCTTTGCAATAACAGGATTCTGTCTGTCCAGCGAGTTGGCAGCAGCTGCTGCTCAGGGTGGCCTCTGGCCCAGGCTTTTGGGTGGGAGGAAACGCTCCCTTTGCCCCCCATCTCAAAACCATCCCTGGGGAAGTGGGGAGGTCCCCTTGGCCCAGGAGGTCAGGTGGCAGAGGGAGGGCACAGGCGTGCTCCAGCCATTGCAGTGGGGACGTTACCCGCTCCTTGCTGCCCAGCCATGGGCGAGAGCGTGAACAGGCACTGAATGCTGCCCCGGCAGCCCCCCGGCAGCCATCGTGCTGTGCTGCTGAGTGATGAACTGCAGCGTGCCCGCCCCCCCC